ACTTGCATTGCATGGTTGTCTGTCTTCGAAACGCAAATGAGAGTTGCGTTCGGCTATGTACATGGAGCTTCAAGCTGAAATGAGTCTGTAGAGTTCCGTGCATAGGTTGTTCCTTCCCGCTTCAAAGGGTGCAGCGTCCTGTATGATTGAAGCCTTGGAGGATGTACCGCTAAAGACCCTTGCCAAGAGCAAATATCCTGAGACGACATGTGTCAGACATAGGAACCTGAAGAATCTCGAGACAATTCCGCAAAACAAACAATGTTCTCTACTTGACCAATTCCAGTGCGAGCCACCCACGGTACATCACAAAGATCCGAGCTTGAGGCCACGGCAAGAAGTACGGCCCAAAGAGCAACGAGGCAGTGGCCAGTAATGCCTCTCCGCGAGGCATTGATGTGTCCGAGAGACAACCGTGATGGCTGCAAGCTGTTTCAGAAGGGCAGTCAAATTTGATGTCTTAAGAAGGGCGGTCAAATCCCAATCACATCCCTCGCCATTGCATAAATCAATGTGAGTGACAGTTCAAACGCATACTATTTGGCATCACCTGCTGAAATCCTCTGCTCGGCGCCAAAGAGGTTCCAAAAATGAACAGTCTCTAGCGACCTGTGGTAATGACGGGGATGGGAGTCAAATGTCTATAAAAGCCAAGCAACCCTCCAGAACAAGTAGCCAGCAACGTGGATCGAGAGACTAATTTGCGCGGCATCACGACGGCTTGACCGACACATGCCTGCGCGTCTGGAGTGCGAGCAAGCGCAACCTGCCCAAACAAGACTTGCATCCTCCACAGAAGTGCTGATCACGGCATAGCGTGGCATTAACGTGAGACATCGGGACATGTTCGCAGGGAGTCTTGCTGAATCTACCGAGAATCCAAACCATAAGATTTGCTGCAGAAATCCCACTCGCGAAGAACGTCCGCAACTTGGAGCTCCCGCCACGTTGCCATTCAGATTTGTTAAGGGGTGCCTTGCAAGGTTGGAATGGCTCTCAAAACGATGAAGTCATGTGCGGAAACCGCTGAGGACTCAAAGTCGTTGACGACATCCCATGCCTGCAGAACAAATCAGCCAAGCCTTTGGATAGCGGTGCACCATTTCTTCGACATGACACAAGCTGGCCACTGCTAGCTCCAGTGCCAGCTGCTTACTTGCCCTGGAAGCTGTGTTGACCTAGCATTAGTAGAGGCGTCGTTTGATTTCATCTTCATTGATGCAGAACAGTGTATAAGGGCATGCCCACCCAAAGCAGATAGGCCCTAAGCGGCTGCCAAACATTGAGGTTGCCGCCCTTTGGCATTTCCCCGCCTTTCAACTCTCTGGTCAATCAAGCTTCGACAGGCGGACAGGTGTTTTAGGGCCGCGGCGATGCTGGTGAGCATAAGCATGAGGAAGCACCCTGAGTGTGGATCAGGACTGCTTCAGGCTTTCCCGACTCAACATCATAGCACTTCCCTTTTATTGGCCGCATCAAGCTCAGTACGCGTTCATCCACGCGTTTGGACTAACATGTATAAAAAACTGGAAGGAGGCACTTGAACGGCTGGGATACTTGGCTTCGCGTGTGGGAGCCTGTTAAAACTCTAAAGCGCCTAAAGCCCTAAACCCTAGCACTCCGCGACGCATTGCCCAGCAGAAAAACCAGCAAGTGAGGTCGATGGCCCGTTCGAGGCGCCCTCAACCCACACACAAAAATACATACATACTCCTTTGGCGGAGCGTGACTGGGAAGTACCCTCTCACCCACTACTGTGCTTTCTGTAAGATCCCAATCTTCGGGAGCAAAATTCCTCAAGATTCGAGACAAGGCGCGTCGCTGCGTTGTGTCTGTTCCAAGAAAGGTTGCCCTGTTTTCCTGGTTTTCTGTTTCTGGTTGAGGGAGACTGCTGGCATTTCCCATCTGCGGCCCCCGCCCGCTGGCTGCAAAGAGGCTGCTATGAGGAAAACCAAGAAGGACAGTGGCTGCCAGCCCCTAGCTGCGCGACCTGCATCCCCCGCTTGATCTGCCGTGTAAGTGAAGTGGTTTCTCCTTCATGGGCGCGTTGTGCTTTTGGAGTCACAATCTTCTTTGGACATCGAACGAACATATGCAAGAGATGCCAAGTACTCAAAGAAGATATTGCCCTTGGTAAAAGCCCATCTGAGCTGAGATCTGATCATGCACCAACCCTTGCTGTTGAATGGGATGGAGCCAAGCAAAACAAAAGGTAAGCCCTGCAACGAATTGCAAGAAAGATAGAGCAATGCGCAACATTAGCGGTTTGCGCTGCTCCCCAGTGATCAACGAAAACATCACTATGGATGGAAACACGCAGTGCATGCTGCAGGGTTCACATGAACTCCAGAACGCAAGGGACACGCAGAAGAACACATGATACCCTGGAAAAACAAACTGTGACAACGCCATATGACAGCATGTACGCACGAACACACGCAAACAAACAAACAAACAAACAAACAAACAAACAGACAGACAGACAGACAGACAGACAGACAGACAGACAGACAGACAGACGGACAGACGGACAGACAGACAGACAGACAGACAGACAGACAAACAGACAAACAGACAAACAGACAAACAGACAAACAGACAAACAGACAACATGCAAACAGACAAACAGACAAGCAGGCAAACTAACTCACTGACTAAACTAACTAACTAACTAACTAACTAACTAACTAACTAACTAACTAACTAACTAACTAACTACCTAACTAACCAACCAACCAACCAACTAACTAACTGGCCCTGTAGCCCATACGCCTGCCTTGGAGCACGTTCGCTCCCAACTGCCCACAACCAGTAGGGCGCTAAACTGCTTCAGCCCAGTCTTCTCTTTAACGGGCATGATAAGGACACACCCGCTCAACAAGAAGATACGCGAAAACCGGGAAGATTCAGCAGCTGGTCAAAGACCTCAGCGTGACGAACCTGGAATTTTGCAAATGGGCAAGCAACATCGGCAAAGTCATGACGGGCGTAGTGGGAGCCCGACTTCCATGAGGCAGAGCTGGAGGGAGTGTGAAGGGGATATGCTCTTGGAAGTTTTCTCTGGAAGCGGTCGCTTGAGTGCTGCCCTTCGAAACCTTAAACTTCCTGCTTTTCCCATCGATGTTGTGCATGACCCTTGTGATCCATGTCATCGTGCTCCTCATGAGCTTCCTGCACACCAACCTATGCCAACACAGACTACATTCGCGAGCCCTCCCCCACCCAGTTCCTCAGCTACGCAGAGCACGCAACGCGTGACTTCAGGCTCTAGAGCAGCAGGCCAACCCCCTTGGCTCACGCCCCCTACGGAGTGGACTTCCGGAAATGGTCTTCTGGATCGCAATCAGCTCCTGACTTGACTTTGGAACGTCCAGGTAAATATCTTTATAAATATGACAGCGAGAGTCATCATGGCCTCCCCGTGTTTGGTTTTCACGCTTGGCCTGAATGCATGGCTTCGCGGGCCATGAGTTCTTGAGCCATCCCGAAGCCCCGCTTGACATCCCATGTTTTTGCAAGGACAGCGCCCCCTGTTGAAGCCAAGCTCCCCCCCTCCCCGCCCCCCTGCCGGTTACAGAGCAGGCTGGGCTGAAGCCCGCCCCGCAGAGCAACATCAAAGACCACACCAACAAGGCAGAGCTCACAACCACAACGGCTAATGGACACACCACCAACCAGATCAAAGATCCAACTACGAGCACCACAAAAGATATGGAGACCTAAAGCAGCACCTTCTACAAATCTTGACACCACACAACCAAAGGAGACAATCCACAGACCACTCACAGCACAGGAGGACAACCAAGACTACTGGGAAAGACAAGGTGAATACTGGACAAGACACCACACAACACTTAGAACAACTCTATTCACTCCAACAGATGGACCAGGACATCCACCAATCAGCACACTTGAACCTCACAGAACTACAATCACTCACAACAACTTTGGAGAA